AACCCTGAGGGGTTTTTGTTTCACCAGAAGCTTCTGTCCAGAGAGTCACTTGCTGCCTCTGAGGACTGGAAAATAGACACTTGTACACCGAATTTTCATAAAGTGGGACCAGTCTGCGAGTCTGTTTCGTCCAAACACTAAATCTGCCTTTCTGGTGTTCAGGACCGAATAGCTAGAAGAGGCTAGAAGTGCGAAATGCAGCATTGGGAAGCCAACAGTTGCAGGCACTGGTCTCCTCCAGCCAAACCCTTGGGCCGGGACCACGGCAGGAGCATCCAGCTGCCCCACCTGTGCCTCCACCACTCAGCTGGTCCCCAGCAGCCCTTCGAAGCCCTCACCGACAGCACGTGGTCTGTCTGTTTAGAAATAAAATGATGCTTGGAGGAAAAACGAGGAATGTAATAGGATTTAAAAAGCCACAGGACCTGATGGGGCTACAGATGGTCGAGGGCCTGGGAGGAGGGAATTGGGGCTGGGTTTATGGCGGGTAATGTGGCCTCAGGGAGGGCCTAGGAGTAGCATCACAGGCATTGTGTCCAACCTCATTAGTCGGCCCAGCGGGACTCCACTGCCACACCAGTGCCACTGTGGTGAGGGGAAGGACGCCCTGAAGATGCCGTTAAATGTATGAGGGACAGCAAAAGCCTGCAAGAACTCGACTAAATGGCTGAGCCAGCAACTGCCTGGAGGGTTCCAGTGGAAACACAATAATTCACAGGCTGTTGCACCTGCCCCAACCTTTCACTCCCTCCTTGCCCTGCTCAGGTCCCCTCAGAGAGAGGCCAAGAGAGACAGGGACATGGAGATTTGAGGGAGAGAGACAGGCACAGGCAGAGAGGAGAAATGTGCGCTTCTGTGTCTAGAAATGGAAATCCTGGGAGCACATGGAACCTGCAGTATTGTTCAGCCCCAGGCAATCCTGTAGGACTTGGGAAGGGTAGGTGGGCATAAAAGAGGCTTCTCTGCCTTCTAGAAGCTTCCCTGGAGGTTTGCCAATCATAGCTTGCTATGACTACCTCTTCATGGCTGGAGCTCAGAGCTGCTCCTACTGAGCCCTTCCCAGTCTACTCTAGGCCCTGCAGCCAGTGGGAGCAGCAGGACGTCCCTAAGGCAAGATTGGTGTCCTGCCTGCTTTCACTTCCATGGACTCAACAGGCCTCTTTCTAGGTTCCCTGCTGGACTTGGCTTCATACCAGAGAAAGAAGAAAGAAGAGTCCTGACCATCCCTGCAAGACAGTGGCCTGTCAGCCTCAGCTCACAATCCATCCATATCAGAGACCCGAGCCCTGGGAATTAAAGGCTGTTTCTGTACCCATAGGGGCTCTGGTAAACATTCTGTCCACACCCATATTGAGGACACCCTCTCCTCATGGGTGTGACCAGAGGACACTTCTAGATGCAGACACTTGTAGGAGTAGGACAGGAGACTGGGCCTAGGACGTGCCTGTGCGAGGGGCAGCAGCCTCCTTGTGTTGGGAGGCCGGGAGGTGCCTTTCTCCTGACCCAGGGCCCTACAGGTTTCCTCCGCAGAAAATGAGTCTCTGTGCTGTTTCCCAGCATTCAAGTGCACCTGGAAGGCAGCAGGTGCAGGTTCTAGAGCGGTGATAGTGAACCTTCTGGAGCTTGCAGAGATAACAGCCCGCTGGGGCTCGCGTGCCATTGGTTTGCCACCCCTGTTCTAGGGACACATGTGTCCCGTGTCCCATGTTCTCAGGTCTCTGGGACACTGTAAGCCTGGGAGCAAAGTTCTTGGAGCTCGGATAAGGACTGAGCCAACTGCTGAGCATGGCCTGGGCCCATTTTCCATTCTTTCTCAGGCTATTTCATTTCCAGCAGCCCCTACTTCTCTCACTTCCTTCTTTCTCCTCTCCCCTTCCTGCCTGCTTCCCTTCACAGTCCTTCTCCGTGCCACCCTTCCTGCTCCACACCCTTCTCCTGTTCCCCATTTCTTTCATCAGTTTTCACGTTCTCCTCTCTCTTTTCTTCCTTTCCCCCGGAAGAAGTATTTAATGGATATTAAATTATTTTAAACTGACTTTCTTTAAAAAAAAGGCTTGGTGATAGTGCTGACTCAGTACCATCTCACTGTTTAATATTGAATATGCAATTAATAGATAGATGTTTAGGTTTGGCTCTCTTTCTCCTTTTCTACCACAAGAAGAATAAAAAAGCTGATTAATCCGGCTTGGGGCAAGTGTCAGCAGCAGGAGATATATGGGAGAAAGGAGATGAGGTTAGCAACTCGGAGTCAGAGAGCGATTGCCTCCCAGGCCAGTGAGGGAGAAAAGGGATGGAGGTAGAGCTCTTCGAGGCCTCGGGGCAGAGGGGCTTCTGACAGCCCACGAGGTTCTGAACACTGAAGTCCTGGACCTGCCCGCTCCCTGCCAAGGCCTCTCCTCACCCTCCAGAACTGTGGGCCTGGTTCATAGCACCGTGGCTTCTTCTCCACATGTGGCAACTCCCCTCCTTTAAGGCCAGAAGCGTCACCTCCTCAAGCATCACCTCCTCTGAGGGCCTAGCTGTCCCTTCCTCCATGCCTTCACTCTGGAACTTGTGGTGGCACATGCTGTCTAAGCCAGCTGCCTCTACTGGGGGTTCTGCCTCCCGTCCTCCTGCCCATGCTACCTGAACAGAGTGCTGCCGAAGGTGAGTCACTGCATGCCTGGGTGACGCTGGCCCTGCTGGGCCTGCCTTCTGGAGATGTTCTCCAGGAAAGGCCCCTGGGTCTCTGGAGTCCTGGGTGAGGCTGGGCAAGGACACTGCTCCTGTCATTGCTAGGGAAAGGGCAGGAACAGGTGCCATGAGCCAAGTGGGCTTTGCTCACTCTGATACCTCACACCTGAGCCATCTTTGTCCCTCAGCTAACTGGACCTTGTCTGTCAGGGTCCTCAGGACTGGCTGTGCTCAGGGGCCCCCTGGGGAGATGTGTCTGTGCTCCCAGGCACGGGGCTTCTTCATGCAGTACCAAGACATCAGCCCAAGTCTGGCGCATGTATCCAGAGGCCCAGGTTAGAAAGGGCTGGATCATAGAGTCCTTGTGCCCAGCTCAGGCACTGCTGGGATCCCCAAGGGCACTGGCCTGAGCTGGAGGGGTGACAGAGTGCTCTGGGAAGGACCATAGGTCCCAGGGAAATGCAGGCCACCTGTTGTCACACTACAGTTCCTTCCGGGACAACTGGCTCTCCAAATTTTTAAGTAGCTTTAGTCTATTTCACTTTTTGCCCTTAATTTCTGGTAAACTTTCTGGAGGGAAGGAGAGTTTTAAAAAAGAGGAATTCCTCAGTGCCTGGCTAAGCTACTGGGCAGGGAGAGCCAGGTGGTAAAGGAGCCGGGGCTCGGGGAGGGTGGTAGACACGGTCACTTGGGTCAGAGTCCAGGTTGGGGGAAGGCTTGAAAGAAAACACCAGGAGCTCCTGCCTGGGAAGCTGCCTGGGCTTTCTGGACCAGCTAGTCCTGCTTGGGGGTGAGGTGGGGCTGGGGAGCGACCTGGTGGCTGTCCTGCTAATCACCGTCTCAGGACAGGAAAGGCCTCAGCTCCTTACACTTCTCTCAGTGGCCTCATGGAATGTTCTCCTGGATCTTTCTAAGCTCTTCCCGGCAGTTTCTATTCTCAGAAAGGCCCTTTCTGGTAGGAGGCTGGAGGCAGTAGGTCCTTCTCCCTCCTCCCCGCTGGGGTGTCCTTCTGATATATGGCTGCTCAGCTCCCCACCTGGTTAAGCCTCTATGTGTCCTTGGGTTGGGGCCCCTCACAGGGGGACAGGACACAGCATTCCCTTGGGAGTCCTTGGCCTGGTCAGGGACTGTTTGGCTGCTTGCCCAGAGAAGTGGCTGAAACCACAGTTCAGGGCTGAGGTGGGCAGGGCCAGTAGGCTATTGAGAGGTGGCAAGGGGCTATTGGTCAGTGGGATGAGAAGCAGGAGGGATGATATCCCTGGGTGGTGGAGGCCTGACCCCTGACCATGACGCTGAAGGTACAGTGGTGCCTCAGTTTACAAACTTAATTTGTTATATGATTTGGGGTGAGATGGCTACATTTGTGTTTGTGTGGGGAAGACGGCCATGGTTGTGTTTGTCACCCAATGTGGAGTTTGCAAACATAAGCAAAATTTTGCCAAATGTTTTCATTTGTGAACTGAATTGCCTGCAAACAGAAGCATCGGTGAACCAAGTATCACTGTACTTTGTCCAGTCCCTTCATTTTCATTTAAAATTGCAGCATGTTTGGATCCTGTTTAGGGGATCCTAGGGATAGGTCCGTGCCCAGAATGGGGCCAGGTTATCCTAGGAGCTGAGATGCAGCTCCAGAGAGGCTGTTGCTGGGGACAGAGCTGTCTCTAGCTGCTGCCTGCCGTGCCCTTCCAGGCTGAGCTTCAGCGTGAAGCAGTTCCTTCATCCAGCTTTCTGCCGAGGGGCTCTGCCACCTCTTGTCAGACTCTGGCAGGTTCCACATTCTAGGGCAATCATTTGTGGGTGAGGCCATGTCCTTTTCCTCTGTCCCCTGTACCAGTACCTACCTGCCCAATCTTTACCTCCACACCAGCCTGGGTGTCCCACACTCCACCACAGCCCCTCAGATATGCCCCTCCAGCCTGAATCATCTTAGGGCAGGGCTGCAGCCATAGCCTCCCTGCTGTTCAGGCCCTCCTTCATTCAAATCCCATCACAGTGGGGTCCTCTTCCTCCTCCTCAGCACCAGGGCAGGCACACCTTTTGGATGTTTCAGAGGGGCCAGGAAATGCCCCATGACATACTACTACTTTCCTTAGAGCAGTGGGAACCCTGCAGCCAGCAGACCCCAGTCTCCCAGCCCGTCGCTGTCTTTCCACACCAGGCACTCAAAGCTCCAAAGCCCTGACACCAACTTCCAGCCCTGAGCACTGCCCCCACCCCCCACCCCCCACCCCGGCGGGGGAAGGAGGAGGAGGCAGGGAGTCGCTGCACAGGGACAAGGTGGGCAGGGAAGAGAGAGGAGGGAGGGGCAGAGACAAGTGGGCCCTCACGTGAAGGGGGCTGGCGCAGGCAGCTACTACCTCCTCGGCTCTCGCTGTCCGCGGGCTTCACCTGGATTGGCCGGTTCATCTGCAACAGAGCACAGGGGACAGTGTTACAGAGGGCGTGGGGAGAAGGGCAGACAGCCTGCACTCACAGGCGCCCGTGTGCGCTCCTGCACAGACCCACAAGCCCGTGGGGCATCCTCCCAAAGCTCCGCCCTTCTCCCCAGCAAGGCACAGTCCTAGGGCCCCCTTATTTCAGAGGGTTGCTCTGGATTGGAGACCCTGTGCGGCTCTCCCTTCCACTTTGAGCAGCGAAATCTGAGGTTAACAGAATGTTTGCTCCTGCCCTTTACATACATGAGGTCCTCCTGTACCCAAGGCTCACCTGTGGCCCAGCCCTGGGTAACTGAAGACAGTCGGCGTTGCCAAAACAAGCTGGTCTGTGTACAGACAGACCCCTGCCCTACCCAGTGCATGGCTTTGAGCTTCACCTCATCAGTGGCATCTCGAAGACATTGCACGTGGGATGGAAGTGGCTGAAGTTGTGGGGCTTCCACCTTCCAGCTCCTCGGCTGGAGCAGAGCTCAGGGCTGGGGCTCCCGATTGCAGCCAGCATTGTTCCCTCAGAGTGTGGATGGACTGAGCCTAAGGCACTTGTCTCCCATAGTGTCCACGTGCCAAGGGACCCTGAGGCACTGCCAGACTGACTCCCTAGGCTTGAAGGCCACAGGCCTCTCGCGGGATCCATGTCAATGCGCCATTCTGACCACTAGGGGTCTCTGGACTCCAAGCATCCTGGCTCAGCAGCAGTTTTCAACTCTTGCCTGCAGGCATCAGGGTGGGCTTTCCAGCTTTGAGTTCCCACAGTATTTCAGACAGTAAAAACGATAGAAATCACACCGATGCATCGTGCCTTAAGTCTTTGCCAGTGCTGCCTGCCATATCCCTCCCGGATGCCTTATTGCATTTGCATTTTTCTCATAAGCACAGGTCCCCAAGAGGCAGACGGGGTGGCACATTCACCTCCACTTTACAGATGGAGAAGTCAAGGCACAGCGGTCGAGCTTTCCCCTCCTGGCCCACACTGTGTTAGGAGGAGGCCAGGAGCCGCAGTCTGGTGCTTTGAGACTTTGTTGCCAGTTCTCCTCCTGTACAGGGGCTGGGCCAGCCAGTCACAAGCCTCCTGCCTTCCGGTCTAGGATTCAGAGCGAGTTGGCTGCATGCAGACAACGAGGGGGGAAGTGAGGATGCCCGTGACTCAGCAAGGTGAAGCTGAGGCCAGAAGGACAGAGCTCACAAGGAAGGACAGAGGCAGGAGGCAGGACACGGAGCAGATGGGGAAGGAGGCAGAGGGTACCAGGGCTGGTAAGACAGGCCTCCCGAGCCACTGCACTCAGAGGGGCCAGGGTGTCACTGTTTGCTTCCAGGTCCTCATCTGACACCCCTGATAGAGTTGAGGCAAACAAAGAGAGATGCTTTGCATGTCAACTCCGGCAGCAGGAGAAATTGTCTACAGCACACTGTAACCTCAAGAGGAAAGAGAGTTGTGACAATATTTCTGGCTTCCTCACAAACCACCACCTTTCCAGGACTTGAGGGAAGGCTTTAGAAGACCAACCAGGTCCCTGGTGTGGAAAGGGGCTCCAGGAGGGGACCAGGTCATTCCTGATTTGCCTTTTGGAATTCAACATCTCACCTTTTCCCAGGCTGCCCCTCCCCCTGGGCTATTCCTTCTTCCTCATCCTCCCTTAAACCTGCCATGTTCTTCTACTCCAGGAAGGTTCTGAGGTCCGACCTGGTCCCAGTTCTGGCCAGTATATTCTCTCCAAGGTTTCTAACAGACTTAGAGCTTATGTAAGTTCAGTTGTCAGAGGTCAGGATTGTTATCTCCATCTTGCTGGTGAGGAAATCTGACCAGGATTCCGCCAGGAGAGGCTGGTGTAGCCCTAACACTGTCATAGTCATTGGCCTTTCTGTATTTTCTATCACTGACCCCAGCTTCTCTAGGAAGAAGGGACCCAGGAGGAAGAAAGTGGAGAAATTACCCATGTGGAAATGGCAGTTTGGGGCCAGATTTTTGAGCCACTCAAAGGAACACAAGCTCTTCAGCCTGGAGTCTGGCCCCACTACCTCCTGTGCCATGCCCACCTTAGTCTCCACACCTTCCTCCCCGACCCAGGTCCATTCCCTGGGTTTACAGGCTCCACCTGCTCTCAGCCGCCTCCTCTTTTATATTTTTTTATTTTGGTACTAGAGATCGAACTCAGGACCTTGCACCTTTGAGGCAGGCAGCAAAACCACTGAGCTAAATCCCCGGCCCTCAGCTTCCTCCTGTTGATCTACTCTTCATTCTTTGAGGCTAGTCTAAAGGATCCTTGTTACAGACCGAATTGTGTCTCCCACCACTTATATGGTAAAGCTGTGACCTCCAATGTAACTATATCTGGAAGCAGAAAATTTAAGGAGGTAACTAAGGTTAAATGAAGTCATAAGGGCAGGGTCTTAATTCCACAGACTGGTGTCTTTGTAAGAAAAAGAAGGCACTGGAGACATAGCACACAAAGAAAAGGCCATGCGGAGACACAATGAGAAGACGGCCCTCTTCAAGCCACAAAGAAAGCCCCCATGGACCTCGAGCACACCTGGATCTTGGACTTCCTGCCTCCAGATCTGTGATGTTTAAGCCACCAGTCTTCTTGCTCTGACAGCCCCAGCAGATAAAATGAACCTTTAGTCCATAAAGCCTGGCCCATTCCGCAGGGTCGGGGAGACATCACAGCCTTCCCCCATTTTCCATGCACAAGGCACACTCAAGGCTGAGGACTGACTTGCAGGAGGTGGGGCTCACAGGTTCCTCAGGCTTCCTCCCTAAGGGAATACAACACCCTTGAAAACATGAGCAGCTGCTATACACGCTATATTGCTAGATTATAACTTCTTCTAGCATGTATGTGAGTCGACTCTCTTTAACTTCAGCCAATGCAGCAGAGCTTTGGAGAGGTTAAGAAACCTGCCTGAAGTCACACAGGTGGTAAATGGTGATATCAGGATGAAGCCAGGACTCTTGACACTTGTATATGTGTTCCGAGGATGATGGAAGCCAGGCAGGACAGGGCTGTGGGATGGTCTGGGAAAGTTTAGGCAGAGGGAAGGGGGTGGAGAGCAGGTGTGTAATGGGGACATACCCAGCAAGCATGTGCAGGAGGGTGTGGGCAGGCAGGGACTGCCCAACAGTAGAAGCACGTGTGAAGTCGGGGGGAGCCAAGCTGCCGCGTTGCAGGCTAGGACATGACCAGCAGACCCTTCAACCTTACGGGTGCTGTATGGAGGAAGTACAGGCCCCTGAGAGGAGACCCCTATTTCTTAGTTCCATGCCAGTCTTCTCTGGATGGGGCTGAGAGCAGTTGGGGTGAGTCCTACAGATTCAGGGGCTGGAGTAGAGCTATTTCTGATATGATGAGTCCTATTTTTGATGGCAAATGAAATGAGGGAATGAAATCTCCCTGTGCAAGGAGCCTCCCACTCTGGTGGGCACCCGGCCCTCAGTTAGCAGGTCCACTGTCTCCTGTCCTTGGTATCCAAGTGTGTGTGATGCTCAGTCCTGTGTTCCTGATTTAAGCCTAGGGTGGTCTTCGGTCTTCTCCCAGAGACTCTTCTGCTTACATCAGCTCGGGACAGTGGGCCCAGATTTGCCCATGGGCTGGAGCTAGGCTCACTCATTAACCCATAGACCCCTCCACAGACCCCTCAGCTTCTCTCCAGCTTCACTGTGGATCCCCGACAGGGATCTAGCATCTCAGCCAGCTTCCCACCTACCCTCAGCCACGGGCTGGGCACCCATGGGTACTTTAAATGGACTAGCGGTTTAGAACAGATTGTCTCCACTGGAGCCATGCCTCCTGGGGCAATTTGTGATGTGAGGGTGGTCAGTGTCCAGGGCTTTGCAGAGCTCGTCAGAGAGGTGATGGAGATGGTGAGATAAAACACAGCCCCGTGATTTCTTAATTCTCAGCAGAAATAAATTGCTGGGCTCCGGTGGAAAAGTTTCTCAGCTGGACCTGACTCTGTACAGGAGGCTCGGGCCTGGAAAGGAACCTCCTGCTCCTGTTCCCAGCCCTGTCCTGGTCCAAGTCTTGCTTCTGCCTTGGAGAGGGAGGTGTGAACAAAGTCAGCTGGCCTGGGCAGAGGAGGTTAGGCCAGGCTGCTGAGATGGGAACAGAGAACAAGACACAGTGTGGTTTTGGCTGAGAATGTGGAGAGAACAGGAGAGTGCTGAGCCTGAGCGTGAGACAGGGCGCGGAAGGCCAGGGAAGGAGGGAGGAGTGAGTGAAGAGCTAGGAGGGAGAATGAAAGCCCCAAAGAGCCAACCGCCTCCTCTCTGCCCTTCTTGTATCTTTGCACCTCAGGTCCCGGCCCTCACCCTGGCCTCTGTATTGCTCTCGTGCCTTGTCTCCCCCGTCTCATGCTCCTGGTCCAGCTGTTCCTTCCAGCTGTGTGGTGTCCCTGTAGGTGGCCTTGGGGTTGTGCTGGCGGGAGCCTGGCTGGGTTGGAGCTTTGTGGCTGACTTTCCACAATGTATGTCATCAGTGCCTCCATGGAGACTCTGTGGCCTTCTGTCTGGGTCCTGCCTCCAGGGCCCGAGGAGGGTTTGCCCAGCCAGGCTGCCTTCTGTGGGTCAGGAACATCTCCCTGAGGTCTCTTTGCAGGCTCCTAGTGTCAGTCATCTGGGGACATCACTTGTGAACTGTGCTCTCCTTCCAGCCAGTGCCCCTCTCAGGGGAAGCAAGTGACTCTGCCCCAGGACTCAGGAACGTCTTTGCTCCCCAAAGCCCTTTCTCTGCTCCTGGCTACCCTTCCCCCCGCTCTATCCCTCTGCCACTTTTTGCATCAACACATAGCCATGCATTAAACAAGACATTCCATTAATTTCTTCATCATCATAACTTAAGCTGGGACATACCCTTTAAATATTCATTCAGCTATGAAAACTGGGCATTAAAATTTTAATAATGTCAAGCTCATTTGAACCAGACTCCTTGGGGACGATTACGATACAATTAGAATAAATACGATGATTGAGCCGGT